GAGCCACTGTGCCCAACCTATTATTTTCTTGAACTATGTTTTTAGTTTTTTCGTTTGTATTCTTTGTCAGGTGTGACCACTAAGTCTCTGGTTAGCTTAGTGGTCAGCTAGTGATTCAAAAGATTTCTTTTGAACAACAAAAAGCCTCCTAGTATTTGCAGATGTGTTCTGTGTCGGGACACACGTTTCAACTTTCACCCATGCAGTTTATAACTATGCCTTAGCCTTCACTTCCTGCGTGCACAGAGCCTGAAGGTCAGGCAGAGGTGAGAGCATAGGGCCCTCTCAAGTCTTTTCAAGCACATGCCCAGCCTTAGGCATGTGTATGGCCTTCTAGATTCCCAGGAATATGTGGAAGCTCTTTAAAGTCCTTATTCTCCCTCAAACAATCTTATTTCCTAGACTTTCCTCCTGAAACTTTTCAATTTGTCTCCTGTTTGCTCCAAATGTTATTCCTTCCCCTGGGCATGAGCCACTAATACATTGACCTTGAAATGTCTTTCTAGGCTGCCATCTTCACTTTGGGAGAGTTCCAAATTAGGCAAAATAAAAGCAAGGCATCTGAACCAGTCCTTCAGGGAGCAACCTGACAAATCAAAATAAACATACTTCTTGAGAATAAGGTCTAATCTGCTACCTCCAGTGACAGGAACCTATACAGGGAATGAGGGATATTGTTTTTGATGCTGCCGCCATGCTGGGGAGTGGGGGTTGGGGCCAGTGTAAGCTAAAACACAACAAAGCTCTCTTACTAAATCCAGCTTTTATTCTTAGGTATTCACCTGATTGCTGTAAACTTTCAATTAGTTTCCAGAGTTCCCATACATTTGTTTGAGTTTTTGCCACTTTATTTGCTACTTTTGTGGAAGGACAGACTTGTGGAATTTTCTATTCCATTTCACTGACCACATTAAAGTTGTAGAAGCTCTCCTCTAGTCTACCCTGCATTTTATAGGGTCAGGAAGACAGGAAGTGACTTCTCCAGGGTCACAGCAAATCAGTAGCTGAGCTGAGATCAGAATAAGGATGCCTGACTCTCACGTCAGAGCTCTTTCTGCTTCAGGACTTCATCAGCTCTTAGTGTTGAGAAGGAGTCAGGCTCAGGCTAAACACCAATATTAGGCAGCTTTCCAAGGAGTAGGGGCTGAAGGTAAGAGTCCTTGGTATACCTGGTGGGCTTAACTGACTCCTTTACTGACAGGGGACCCTATATGAGGCCAGGTTGGGGACTGAGTAATGATGTCCCTGTCCCTTAGAAAAACACAGGCAGAGAGCTTTCCGATTTGATGGGGGTGAAAATGTAAACCTTTATCTGTCTGAGGACATGTATTTAGCTTGATCGGTTTCTAGGTCTCATTCCACTCCATCTCAGCCAGGGCAGGAAAGAGCCTACAGCAGAAATAAGGGGCCAAGTCCTAAGCTAGGACTGTAATTCCCTGCCAAGGCCAACAGAAGATGGGCATGGCATGGCATTAAACCACCACTTTGACTGTGGGCACCTGCAAAGGTTCATCTTTCAGCTCCCTCTTCCCAAAGCTAGGAGTGCCTCATCTCATCTCTCATCACCTGACTGAATTCCAGAGTCTGCCATCTGCTCATCTGCCCTCTGGAGGAACACCTCGACTTTTGGGGAGTTCTCTGTGTGAGCACAGTAGTATTTAGATAAACATTAGATTACAGAGGGTTACAGACGCAGTTTCCCAGCCCCCACACCTGCTCAAAATGTGTGAGGGTCTGACCCCAGGAACTGCTCTTTTTTAGCAAGCTCCTCTGATGATCGCGATACACACTCAGGCTTGAAAACCACCACTTCAGGATCATCTACCCAGCCACAGGGTGAGCACTCCAAAGTTTCTTTCTTAAATTCTGCATGAGACAAATGCCATCAGGACTAGGGGAGGCGAGCGAGGCCATCTGTCTCAGGTGCAAAACTAGTTAATAGTGTTTCTTCCAGTGCCCCCACAGCTGCTGAAAGTTCTCTCAGGGCTGAATTCATCCGGTGCTTCACCCTCCACTTGCTACTTTAGAAGTCAGATTAGATGTGTAGCATGGACTGGCCTTGACTAACATATTCAGGAGGCAGGAAAAGACCCACTGTGTTCTATCCCAGAAAGATGACCTGTAAGGCTGCATGTCTTTCTCCCTATCTTTTTTGTCGTAAGCATAATAAACAGTGTCGATCCCAGCCTCCCACTGACCTTGGAAGGCAGGACCTTTGCCTCTGGGAAGATCAGGAGGCATTCATGAAGTCCTCTAGCCCATACTCAACATGGGTTGGACCCCTTGGGAATGACCATGAGGGCCGGGAGAGGAACAGGAAGGCAGGGAGAACCAGGACTGGGACAGACAGAGGTGTCAGTATGCCAAATGTCACACCCAGGGTCAGGTTCCAGCCCATGCTGAGGTTCGAGGGGAGTGGGTGGATAGGCGATAGCTGAAAGAAAACTTGGCGGGCCGTACGCAGGTAAAATGTTAGTTTTATTCAGCAGCTATCTCACCAGCAGCTCTCACACTGTCCACCTTTACCTTGGCTGTCTTCTCCAGCTCTGCGGCTCCTCTCAGCAGCCAGCTCTGCGGCTCCTGCAGCCGCCATGCTTGCAGGTGCACTCCCTGGCCTGCAAGGCCAGCTACAGGGTCAGCGGCTTAAGTCCCCATCTGGGCACAAGCCAAGCCGTGTCCTGGCTCCCCTCTGTCTATCTGCCAGATGGTCGCTCTCCCTTACAGTGGTCAGTAGCTTCACTCTCTGGGTGCCAGTGCATGCCATGTGCAGCCATGCCCATCCAAGCCCAAGAACGTCTGTACAGCGTCAGCAGGGCAGTTATACCTTTTCCAAACAATAGTGGCTTTGAACCAAGTATGAACTTACACAAACAGGTTACATAACAAGTGGAGTACACGCCTGTGACCAAAACTCGTTGAGTCACTCTGGCCTGGATGTCCACCTTGGTCTTATTTCTTGACCAAAGCACATCCACGTACCTTACAACAGGTGGTCCCCAAGTGTGTAGACCAGGGTCTCAAACCCAAAGGCCTGCAGGAGCCAAATGGGTAACATGGGCTCAGTGTAACACAAGAGGGAGCCTATGGTAAATAAGGGGTACAGGCCTAAAGCGGCAGCTGCAACTCAGCTCTAGCCATGTAGGAATGCAAGCCCCGTGGTGCCAGAATTTCTGAGTTTTCAAGAGAAGCCAGAATTCCAGATTTTTAAAAATATGAAATCTCTCAATGTTTAAATATTGGCAACAAATTCAAATGTCTAAAAACACTTTGGAAGCCAAAGTAAATGTGTCTGTAAGTGCAAAATTGCCTGCTGGGCACCAGGCTGGGAACTTTGGAGTAAACAGGGCAAGGCAACATCACAGAATATGGTCACATCAGAGCACATTGGTTCTAGGCCCCATCACAACTCAGAAGGCCACCTGGGTCACCTTGAGTTCATGGCAAGTTGTATATGGCAAGCACCCCATCCCATCAGGCAGGTCCCACCTGGCACCCAAGGGCAAGGGGCCTGCCCTAGCAGAGGAGTTCTTGGGAGAGCAGCAGGGATGGGGCTTCAGCTCGGGCTTCAGGCATGGACTGTGATGCAGATCTGACGTGTTGACCAGGACCTGCCATCAATCCCAGGTAGACCAGGCTAGTTCTCAGCTCATGGCTGCTCCACACCCTTTGGATGTCATTCTTCCTCTACGTTTAAGGGGCAGTACTAAAGCAAAGGTCTGCAGATGAGCTACTCCCTGGGGCTCCTGCCAGGACCCAGCAGGCTTGATCTAGCCTAGTCTCTCTGGATTCTGTCATTTCTTTTTGTTTTTTTCTCATTTGAGACAGGGTCTCACTCTGTTGTCCAGGCTGGAGTGCAGTGGTGTAATCACAGCTCACTACAGCCTCCATTTCTTGGCTCTAGGGATCTTCCTGCCTCAGCCTCCAGAGTAGCTGACTACAGGGAATGCACTACAATGACAGGTACTTTTTTTTTTTTTTTTTTTTTTGAGATGGAGTCTCACTCTGTCCACCCAGGCTAAAGTGCAGTGGTGTGATCTCAGCTCACTACCACCTCTGCCGCCTGGGTTCAAGTGATTCTCCTGCCTCAGCCTCCTGAATAGCTGGGATTACAGCCACCATGTGCTACCATGCCTGGCTAATTTTTGTATTTTTAATAGAGACGGGGTTTCACCATGTTGGCCAGGCTGGGTCTCAAACTCCTGACCTCAGGTGATCTGCCCACCTCAGCCTCCCAAAGTGCTGGGATTACAGGCGTGAGCCACCATGCCTGGCCAAATTTTTTACTAGAGACAGGGGTCTCGCTATGTTGGCCAGGCGAGTCTTGAACTCCTGAGCTCAAGTGATTCTCTCACCTCAGCTTCCCAAAGTCCTTGTATTACAGGCATGAGCCACAGTGCCTAGTCGATTCTCTCTTTTCTAAACCTCAACACAGGAGGTTGGAAAAGCAGTGAGTAGAGACCCCTGATGCAAGGCAAGCTCTAGCTTCTGGACATGACACTGTAATTCTCAGAAACTCTCTTATGGATTCTCTCCCCCACACCACCAACCAAGGGGCACAGGGTCCCCAGAGACCAGAGCCAGGACCCCGTTTCAGCCTGGAGGCACCCTGAGGGGAGGCGCTGGTCTTGTGACTCTCTGGGTTGTCTCCATCCTTCTCTCTGGCCCCCGTCGAGGGACACCAGGAATTAGCAGACACCATTCTTCCCGCCTGGGACCTGGGTTAAGGACTACATTTTTCCTACCACACCTTCAGTGGACTTCACTGCACCTGCAACCAACCAAGATCCCTTTGCCTTTCAGGTGTCTGGGTGCCCTGCCTGGATTTCGGGAACCTCCCTTCCCATGTCCTTACAATGAGTCCCCTCAAACTATTGTTTGCTCAGGGTTTCCTGCACACAAATCTCTATCTAAGGTTACATGAATTTTCACTGGCTGATAAGGCGAGAACTCTGAGCCACAGGGCATAATCAAGCAGAAGAAAACAAGTTGGTACCAGGAAGACACTTCCAGAACATTCCAGAGCTGGCTGGCTTTTAATGTGGAAACAAGTTTTGGCTACAGACATTCAGGTTTAAGGCACATTCCACAAATTACAAGAAGCCCCGTCACTGACAGGGAACTGGCTTTGTTCTCGTGGTTTCTGCAAGGAAGATGGAACTAATGACTTTTTTTTTTTTTTTTTCTAAAAAGGAGTGAGTTTGGCAGTAACAAAGCTTGTGACACACTCACCAGATGCACAGGCTACCCTCCCAGGCATGCTTCCCTTTCTCGCCTCAGCGGGGACACGGCACTTCACCCAACCAGTCGCCCTCAACAGAAATGTGTACGCAGCAAACAGACTTGTATGCATCTGTCTGGCAATGATCGTAAGAAAAGAAAATATGCCTCCAAATAAAAATATACAATTAAATGACGAAATGAAGCTAAGTCTTAGCCACAGGCAAAGGGGAATGATTGCATGAGTCAGAAAAATGAAACATCTACTTCAGCAGCAAGAGGCTGTGAGGGCTGGGGTAGAAAAGGCATCCTGAGAGAGTTCTAGACTGACCCAGGTCCTGTGGCACAATACATAGGTCAGGAGGGGTGGAGGACAGGCCTAGGCTCTAGGACGGTGCATCTCGGGGCTATTTGTGGATTTGTTAGAAACAGACATTCTTTTGGCCTTTTCCTGGCACCACTGTTGCCCGCAGGTGGGCAGAAGTGAGCCACCAGTCACTGTTCAGTCATTGCCACCACAGATCTTCAGCAGAATCTTCCGGTAATCCCCTGAAGTATCTCCCTGGCCACAGAAACAAGGAAGACATCCGTTAAGGGAGGTACGGTCACTTTCAGCCTTCTGGCTCCTGATTTTCAGCCCTGAGCACCCTTATAGGGAGGAAGCCCCATCCTGGGGAATTTTCCCCTGCTGCAGGTCCTGCAGCAGGGGGCACAGACCTTAAAAAAATGGAATGTAGCCTTCCCCAGGACCCCATTAGAAGACGGAAAGCAGCACTCACCACAACTATCCAAGTCAAATGAATATCCACAAAAAAAAAATATAATCACCCTAAAAACCACTTCCCAGGGCTAACCAATACTGCTCTTTTCCCAGTGCATTTATGCTGCCTTAAATTGGGGTTACCAATGTAACGCAACACAGTGTCCTGCTTAGGAAACGCAATCTCCTCACACATGACTGTCCAGTGGAAGGCTCGGACCTCCCAGTCCCAGGGATCTCCTCTGTCTGAGGCCACTACGCTTACTCCAAGAGTGCAGGCTCGGCTTGGCTCATTTCTAATCATTTCCTTCCACCCTAAGCAACTTGAGGGCAAGGCATGTGGCTTCTTCCAGATGTCCACAGCCTGCTGGCATGCAGGAGATACTCTGTAAAGAATTATTAACCTTTTTTTTTTTTTTTTTTTGAGATGAAGTCTCACTCTGTCGCCAAGGCTGGAGTGGAATGGCCTGATCCCGGCTCACTGCAACCTCTGCCTCCTGGGTTCAAACAACTCTCCTGCCACAGCCTCCCGAGTAGCTGGGATTACAGGCACAGGTCACCACACCCCAACTAATTTTGTATTTTTAGTAGAGACAGGGTTTTACCATGTTGGCCAGGCTGGTCTCGAACTCCTGACCTCAAGTGATCCACCCGCCTCAGCCTCCCAAAGTGCTGGGATTACAGGCGTGAGCCACTGTGCCCAGCCTAGAATTACTAATTCTCTAGCAACGGCTTCATTCATACAGCCAAGGAAACAAAGTAAGCTTCCTGTGATGACATGCCCACCATCATTAAATGCTACTGAGTCTAAGGTGGGAGGATGTGGTCCCCATAGTGCAATTTCAAGGCTCACGTGAGTTCAGAATTTGAGTGTTAGACCATGTAGCTGAGAATGTATTTTGTCAGACTGGCTCTGCCGCACAGCGATACAACAGTGGCTAGTGTTTAATAGACACTTGACCTGTACCACCTCACTCAATACTCACAACATTCCCGGGAAGGAACAATTATTTTCTCATCTTAAAGACAATGGAGCTGGGGTTCAGGGAGGTTTAAGGAAGCTGTTCAAGGTCACACAGTTAGCAAGTAGAAAAGCTGGACTCCAAGTGGCGTGACCCCCACGGCCTTCGCTCTGAACAGCCTCACTATGTGGCCTATGCCATAAAGCTGAGTGCAACAAGTGCTTTGTCAGTGAGTGAGAGCAGAGCTCCACAGAGCCTTTGGGACATGAGTTCTCACTGACAGCTCAAGGAATCACAGGGTGGTTGGGACGCTGAAGGTCGTGGTCAAGGTTGAGGAGGTCCCGAGTGTTCTCTGATGCTGCTGGGGGATGCAAGGTGGGGACGACAGCAAGGTCATGACCCACCTGCCCTCAGAAGTTTAGGGGCAACGGGATGAGCAAGTCTGAGGTCCATAAACAAGATGCCCACACACAGCACAGAGGCCAAGCATACGGCCACTCTAAGGAGGGAGGTTCCACAGGTGACTGGGATGCCAAAAGGGAGCCCAGTCTGCCTGCAGCAGGGCCATACCGAGATGTCGTGGTACAGCGACTTGCCGTACATCCGCTTATACTCCGATCTGATGTCCAGGAGGTCGGTCTCACTGCGAGACACCATGATGCGAATCAGGGTCCGGTCCTTTGTTCCTGCCCCCTAAAGAGAGTCCCCCCAAGAGCATGAGCACCAGGCCTCCTCACCTGCCCACCCGCCCTGGGCCTTCCAGTCCCCTCCCTACCCAAGTCCTCAGAACTCTCGGCTGAGATTTGGCTCTCCCCAGGCCTTCTACCCTCAGCCCTTGGACCTAGGCACAGGCGGGGCTAAGGTATCGCAACCTGCACATGGAAGTTACATACCCTCATGGCTTTGTTGAGCCTCTCCGCAAAGAAGGCTGGGGTGTTCTTGAGACATTTCACTAGAAGAGAGAAACTCAGCATAACCAGATCTGCAGAAAATTCTCAGCCCAAGCAGGGCATGGAGTCTACAAGTGTCCTCTTAGAGGCCCAGATGTCAAATCCATCACTGCATCCATCTTTTCTCCTCTTCCTTCTGTTCCAGGCTCAACTATCCCATGATCTTGGCTCCAGCTCTTTGGAACAGAAACACGCAGAGTCTGGACACCAACCCACCCTCTTTCCTGGCAACCACCGTGATGAAAGGACCAAGAGTCAGAGGGGCGGGGGTCTTAGTGGGGCGAGGAGCTGCAGATGGTGACGAGGAACTGTGCTGCTGCTCAGGCAGGAGGGGCAGACTGGAGAGGCCATGACCCTCATGGAGAAACTGTGGCCGAGTGGAATGCGCATCTCCCTAGGCTTCCCAGGTCACGAGACCTACTGTGGGGGGCAGGCAGGGAAATGAGGATTTTCCATCTCTCCCATCCAGAAAACTCTAAAAAAAAGCATAATGGAAAAAGGGGCAGACTGATTTTCCCAGGTGAGTAGAAAGAGGGGTTGTGAGGGCCTCAGGGCGGGGACCCAACTCTGCACAGTGGGAGGGACCTGGAGCCCACCGGGCCCTGCTAGAGGACATGGGCAATGTAAGAGGCACACTACCATCCCGGAGCCAAGCCAGCTTTCCTCAGCATGGGCCTGTTTCGCTGTTGCAAGTAAAAATCTTTCCACGTGTTTCCATCACAAACATCTGACAACTGCCTGCAGGGATGTATTTTTAGAGGAAACTTGGCAGGATATGAGTCATACTTCTCCGGGAGAGCAGCTGGATGCCCTCCCACTAATACCCACACTGCAGTTCCCTTCTCCAGAGCTGCACCACAAACACACACAAGACACACACACACACAAGACACCTCCAGGACAGCTAGGGGTTCAACTGCACAGGGACCCGGGAAGCGGCATGACTTCCCAGCATCTGGACACTCTGGGTTGAGTGATCTTGGATCCTGTGGTCCTTTCACGATGTCACCCATCAGCTGGAGGACAGGCGAACAGCCTGAACACTTACGACACGTTAGCCCCTGGACGGTGGGCAGGCAAACCTGAGACACTTACCCACAGCCAGCATGCCCTGCTCCAGATCCCCGGACATCTCGCGGCAGATGCTCTTCTCAATGTCCCGGCCTGTCATTCTCTGGTACTCATTGAAAACTAGGGGGATGACAGAGGCTTATTTTATGAACTGAAATGTGTCTCCTCAAAGTTCATATGTGGAAGTCCCAACTCCCAGGACTTCAGAATACAACCGTAGTTGGAGATAAGATTTTTAAAGAGGTAATTAAGTTAAAACATGCTGCTAGGGTGTACCCTAATCCAATCCGCCTGGTCTCCTTAGAAGAAGAGATTAGGACACACAGAGACCTCAGGGATGTGCACATGCAGAGGGAACACCCTGTGAGCACACTGATTGCCACGAAGAGGCCACGGAGAAACCGGCACCCCACTCTAGGACATCCGGCCTTCAGAACTGCAACAAAATGAACGTCTGTTGCTTAAGCCACCCAGTTTGTGGTATTTTGTCATGGCAGCATGAGCAGACTAACAGAGGACTCACGTGAGGTGGCCTCTGCCCCCAAATCCCCCGCCTCCCACTCTGCTCCCACACCCTGCACGTCCCCAGGCCTGCCTAGCGCTCAAGGAAGCCAGAGATTTCGTCACAAGTCACACACACCACCTGATGTCCCTCCCTGTGTGGTCCTTTTCTCAGGACTGCCAATCTACTTAAGCAAATCGCACCTTAGTACCCCTCCAGGGCCCACTCCCACGCACCCCAACACAGTGTCCCCTCTTCTCAAATCCCCCACACCTGCAGTCTCTGCCATTCCTTGGCTTTATTCATGCATCCATCTGTCTTCCTCAGCCTGCCCCAGCCAATCTGGCTTTTTCTGCCCACCCCTGCCAGCCCAGCTCGATCTGGGACACGCAAAGCACCCATGGGAGTGGACGGCTGGCTCCTAGAGAGGCAGGCAGCATGATGGAAACCTGGGTCCTGACTCCAGCTCTGACCCAGGACATAAAACTCTCCTTCCCCAGCCTGAGTCTCAGCTTCCATTTGCATATTAAAGTCGTGATTTCTGCTCTATCTGTATCTATCTCAATATCTTCTTCAAATCAGCTCCTCTTTTCTCCTAAGTAATGTTTGTGAAGCCATGGGCTTGATGCACTACTTACATGTTCTGTACTCATTAAAAGAAATAATGATTTAAGATGAAAATGCATTCATTCAGGCTCCATTACAGGATAGTGCAGAGGTTAAAAAGTGTGCTCTGGGGTCGGGTGGCCTGGGTTCAAATCCCAGCTCAGCTGTTACTAGCTGTGCACCCCCACTTCCCTACCACCTTGTGCCTGCTTCCACAGCTGCAAATGGGGAGAGCCACAGTGCCTGTTGTGTGCAGCACAGAGCGGTTGCTGCGTTTTCATCCTCACTGCCCATTGGAGCAGCCCTGGCCACAGCCCACCAGTTGCTCAGTGTGGTCACCATCCTCCGTCCTTGCCTGCCACCTCACACTGGCCTCTAGGACCCCCTTCCTCTGGGTCCTCCTACCTCCCTAGTGGCTCCTTCTTAGTCTCCTCACACAGGTGGGCTCCCCAGTCTCCCTCCCGAGGGGACCTCCTGCAGTCCCAGAGCCTCGGATACCTTCGATTACTCACAGTTCCCTTACCTTTCACGTCCAGGCCAGACCTCTTCTGACCTCCACACTCAGCAACCCAGCAGCCTCCCTGCAGCTCCACCCTGCAGGCACCTAAAGCCAGCTCCACCTACAGTTGCCCCTGTCTCAGTTGAGGGCCATTCTCCCACTGCTTGCCCTAAAGAAACCCTGTGTAATCCTCAACCCCTCTCTCCCCTACACGCCACGTGTCCAATTCATCAGCTAACATGGCCAGAACCTGACACCTCCTCACCACAAGCCCCTACCACCACCGTTCCTTCCCTGGGTCCCTGCAGCAGCCTCCCAACAGGCTTCGCTGCTTGGCCTTGCACCCTTCACTCCATTCTCCGCACCACAGCCAGGGAGTCTGCATAGCCTCCTCTGCTCAGAGCCCTCCATTGGCTTCCTATTTTGCTCAGGATAAGTACCCAACTCCGGGAAGTCATCAGCAGGGCCCTCTCCCCTCTTTGCCCTCACCTTCCACTCCTCTTGCTCACTCCACTGCTCCACATGGTCCCCCTTCACTGTTCTCAGTCGTACTGGGAGCCCCAGGCAGGCCTCTGGCCCTGCATCTCCTTTAGGTTTTTAAATCAAATGTCCTGACCTCAGTGGGGATTGGCCCAAGCACCTCCCGGTGGACCCTACCATCACTCCCTACCCGTTTCCAGCTGTTTTCCTCTACAGGATTTACCATGTGATACAGATTTTATTTCATTGTTGTTTACTGTCTGTCTCTCCAAATGAGAAGGTGCAGCCCATGGGACACAGACTCTGCAGTGCCCTGCCCCCCGACCGTGGCCCCAAACTTGCTCCACCACCTGACGGACTGACCCATAGGGAAGTGAGATTTACATCTGTTGAATGAATGAGTAAATGAATGGCACCCAGTATTGTTGCTATCACTGCTTCTTATGCCAGGCTTTGGAAAACACTGGACTGGGTGCTCCCAAAGGACTCTCCCAACTCTTGACATTCCACATTCCCACGTACAAAGATACCAAGTTTCTACACCAGAGGAACCTCCAGAACTGGATGTTTACAGAACTCAGGAAACCCTCTGACAGTGTCTTTTAAATCCCCACCAGGGGGCTTTTTTGAGGAGGCGAAAACCCCATGCAGGAAGGAACTGCCAAGTGTTCCCATAGCTTTGTTTCCCCACAATCCCGACTGCCCTCAACTAACTGGCCTCAGGGGACCCTGGCCTGACTTACCTGCCACCAGGTGGGCCCGGCTCCGGGAGCACAGAACCGCATTGAACTTGGACTCGTCTGTTCCCAGGCGGTTCTCCCCGGCCGCATACAGTTCCTGGAGAGAGAGGAAGATGTACATGCGGCACAGGCCACACCCAGACCCCAGGAGCAGGTCACCCAGGAGAGCCTGGTAAACTTCTGAAGGTTTGAGCCTAAAGTATTTGCCAATTTGCAACCTCTGAACTAGATGGCCTCTAACGTGCCTACTAGGCCTCAGGTAGCAGCCCTGAAAAAGAGCAGAAAGCAGCAATCAGGGGCTGAGATCCCACAGGTCAAGATGACGCCAAAGCAGGTCTGAACTGAGAAGGCAGAGCATGAGACAATTTCTGCCCTGCTAAAACTGGCACGCAAAACTCTCGCTGGAGCAAAAGCCAGAGCCCTGAGCCCCAGGGATGTCCAGCTCTGACTCCCAGAATGGGAATGGATGTCACCAGCCAGAGAGACACTGAATAAGGCAGACCCCTGCAGGAGCAGCAGGGCAGAGACCAGGGCAGAGGCAGGTGCTAACTGGGCATGGAGGACCGAGCCAGGGGTATAGGCCCTTGTCCGGGCTCTGCCTCTAGCTTTCAGTTAGGAACAGTGCTCAACTTTTTTGAGCCTCAGTTTCCTCATCTGGAAAGCAAAGGACCAGTCCAGAGGAGTAGCTCTCCTCCAGTCCTAACAAGGGGGGCACTCCTTGGGGTCTCATTCGAAACCTGCAGATGGTAGAGATAATTAGACCACTGGCAGCTCCTGGTGAATGCCCTGCCATGGATGACAAGGGCAGTGAAGGGGGACAGAGAGGTATGGCTAACTCTACCCCACCAGGAAGTCATGGCTCTGCCCTGCCATAACACTACGGTTGAAATTCATTAGCGGGAAACCCAAACTTTTCTAGAGAGTAGCTCAGATGCCTGGACTGCTTGGACGTTTCCCCTTTTGTCTGCAACTCACAGGTGGACAAGGACAGAATTCTAAGGCTGCTCAACTAATGTGGCAGCTGGTTTCTAGGCTCAAACCCTCAAAAAACTAATAGGCAAGTGCAAATTCTGCCCCTTTGCAAACAATGGTATGTGCAACTAAACCATGGGGAAAGTACGCAGTCGCACGAAATCCCACATCCAAAACCGTGATCTATCAACTGCTGAAATACTAATTATCTCACATGTTCCTTCCGTAGGTGGGGAAGGTGAAGCCCCAGGAGGTCAGACGACCTGCTCTAGGTCATACAGTTGAGCAGTTCAGCACGTCTGAAACTCGTGGCATCTGCAACCCACTGCTTATCTATTGTTCTTTCCACCCTAGGGCACCTCTCTCAGGAAGCAAGAAAGCGAGGTACACCCTGCTTTAGGAAGTCCAGGGGCTTGGCCATCACACTCACCTGGGCATCTCTCTGGCGAGGGACATGTCCACATTTGTGCTTTCATCACGGTTTCCCTGAAAGGAAGCAGGTGTATGGTCAAGCCCACTCCTTCCCCATTTCTTTTCCCTTTCCTCATTGCTGGGATCCCATCTCTTTGACTTCCATGGCTTGGGGGCCCCGAGCCCTGTCATGGGAAAAGTACCTGAGAGAGAGAGATGAGGAGCCGCTGGAAGTGCCCTGATGTGTCGCTTCGAATGGCCTCTTCCAGGGTCTTTTTGAATTCTGAAAGGGAGAAGCAAAGAAGGTCCACCCTGTAGCTCTGTTTATGGAGCTGCCCATTGCAAAACACTGTAGTGGGGAGAATAACGCTAGAGGTCTCGGCTCGGGCTCAAGAGAGCAAACAGCCCACATGGCCCTCCAGGGATATACAAGCCTGCGACCTCCAGGCTGACCTGGGCTCTAGTCAGCCTTGGCCCAAACCACATCCAGGTTTCCCCTGGCGCTCCCTTACTTTAGTCATTTGCACCATGTATACACAGAAGGAACGGTTGGGTGTTGGGTCAAAGCCCAGTGTGCTGGGGGTGGCAGAAGATAGGTTGATAAGAAGGCCAAGAAGGAGTAAGAGGCCCTAGGAGAGAGTGAGGCCATAGCCCCGAGAGCACAGGGATCTGCAGAGGGCAGAGGGAGTGGTGTCACCTGCTTTGTAGGCTCTGTTTAATTCTCGGATGTGCTCATTGCTGCGGGAAGCGAGGATCTCAATCAGGCAGGCTTCATCAGTGCAACCCCCTGCAGGGGCAGAGAATACAACCAACCATGCCTTGTTCAGCAGCCTTTACCAGCACCCGGGAAGGAGAGTGGGGCCATGCTGCTGCCTGGACCCCAGGGCCAACCCCAGCAACAGAGGCCCCTGACACAGAGACACACCCTCCAGCTACTCCCAGGCTTAAGGAAGTCAGCTCCTCTCCACAGCCCGGGCAAGCACACTGACAGTGGCAGCGGTGATGAGTAGGGTTCCACAAAAGGGGCACTCCCAATGGATCAGAAAACTGAGCATCAGAGAGGGGTACTGGCTGGTCCAAGGCCACACAGTAAATGGTTGGGTTACACACAGGCCTGCGGGACTGCGCTGCCTGCCCTAGCCGGCAGGGTGCACACAGGACTTCGCGACTGCGCTGCCTGCCCTCGCCCGCGGGTGCACACAGAGCTTCGGGACTGCGCTGCCTGCCCTCGCCCGCGGGGTGCACACAGAGCTTCGGGACTGCGCTGCCTGCCCTCGCCCCCGGGGTGCACACAGAGCTTCGGGACTGCGCTGCCTGCCCTCGCCCGCGGGGTGCACACAGAGCTTCGGGACTGCGCTGCCTGCCCTCGCCCCCGGGGTGCACACAGAGCTTCGGGACTGTGCTGCCTGCCCTCGCCCCCGGGGTGCACACAGAGCTTCGGGACTGCGCTGCCTGCCCTCGCCCGCGGGGTGCACACAGAGCTTCGGGACTGTGCTGCCTGCCCTCGCCCGCGGGGTGCACACAGAGCTTCGGGACTGTGCTGCCTGCCCTCGCCCGCAGGGTGCACACAGAGCTGTGGTCCTGTGCTGCCTGCCTTCGCCCGCGGGGTGCACACAGAGCTTCGGGACTGCGCTGCCTGCCCTTGCCCGTGGGGTGCACACAGAGCTGTAGGACTGCACAGAATGGACAGGATCCGCCCCTCAGTCAAAACCCACAGGACTGGAGGAAACAGTGAGCCCAAGTTGGGCCCGTCAGAACCTGCCCCTGTTTGGAGATCCTGCTGGATTCTTCTGGAGCTGGGTCTCATAGGTAGGCGGAGAGTGGTCAACAGGCACCCCTCCCCAACCCCGCATGAAGCAGCCATGGCAGGAGAAGCACAGAAACGGACAGAAGAGCAGGCGCTCAGGAGAGGCAGAGACTAGAGAGACGTCTGGCCTGGCCCTCTCCATGCCAGGCAGCTTGGCTTTACCCACATAACTGATTCTCCACCTTTGTTCTTCTTAAACCGAAGTGTGTTTCTGTCATTTGCTAGTAACAGAGTCCTAAAGAATGGGAACGATACCAACCATGGCCTCCTACCCCTCTGCTTACCACAGACTTGCCACCTTCAAACCCTAGCTCCACCATTTCTTTAAGATGGAGAGAGACCAGATAGAGAGAGACTTAAGGCTCCTGATGATGACGGGTGCATCACTCGCCTCTTGGGAAATCACAGGAATTCCCTTTTCTACAGCATGTGGACTCTACCCAGGAAGGCCTGGGAGCCATACTGATAACAGCAGCTAATGAGTGGGCTAGAACACAGCACACTGTCCAGGCCTCCTTCTGGGCTGTGTGTCCACATGCATGAATGCATGAAAACACACACACACACACACACACACACACACACACACACACACACACCACACACACCTTGATGGCTTCCTTTATCTCATATACGTCAAAGAGGACTGGGGTTCTTCATCAGAGCCAAGATTGTCTTCTCAAAGTTTCCTGACAGTTCAGATTTCAGATCTTTGATCAAATCCTGATTGGATATTCAAACAAACAAACAAACAAACAAAGTCTATTTTAAAAATCCACAGGAGGTGACTACTAAGAGCCATATCCCAGATTCGAGGAGCAGCGGCACGGACATCCCCCAGGGGCCCGAGAGAAAAGCCTGCTCTCAGGCCTGCCCCAAACCTCCCGAATCAGAGACCACATTTTACCAAGATGCCCAGAGGATCAGTGACACATTGAAGTGTGAGAAGCACTGGGCTAGAACATGAATCTAATCAATATTTACCCAATTTTTACCTTTCTAAGATTCAAAACCCCAGAAGTTCAAAATGCGCTCATACATGCCCCTCGTACTTGGGCAGTGCTCACAGCCTTTCCCTGCAAAGTTCTTACATCAGCTAAACCCCCCAGGGTGGTCATGAAGAGGGCAGGGGAAGGAAAATGATGTGGCCACAACCTTAGTGAGATGTGGCAGAGCAAGGGCTAGAACCCAGGGCTAGATGTCTGGAGCCTCTCAGCAAACCTTGGCACCCTGTGGCATCCTTCATCTCCCAACGATGTCACCTGCTGGGTGGGCAGAAGGAAATGCCCTCCTGCTCCTTACTGTCCATCCGGGAGACCCGGACCCACCCAAGAAAAAGCAGGGGTGAGCAGGGCTGTGCTGAGCTCAGGACACGCCTCGCTGTCCCGCGCCCCCACCCCGCAGCTTGCCTTGCCGTAAGCTGTCTTGAAGGAAAGGAGGATCTGCTGCCGCTGCTTGTTGGAGCGACTCCCCAGGCAGTCAATGATAGCCTGCTCATCCGTCCCTGGAGGAAGAGGCAGCAGGAGTGGGTCGGGCAGGGGTTATGAGATGCTCTGCAGCTGGGACTTCCCTGGCCTGGGTGCCTCAACTGTTCTGGGCATGCCAGGCGCAATCCCACATCCATCTTCTCTTTTATTACCACTGGGGCCAGGTCTGCGTCCCCCAGCTACCCTAGCCCACAGAGCCACTGTGAAACTGCCTGGGGAATAGGGGGCAGGGGGTAGGATTTGAGCCACCCA